TTTTGACTCCTCAAAATTCAAGAGTCTATCCTAAATTGAGGAAAATTGTATGGCTTTCTAACAAAAAATTGGTTTTGCATGCACACGTATAAAAATTGCGGTTTTTATCCAACGCAATCATAGGTTTGAACGTTGTTTTCAATTTAGACTTGTTTATATTTTTTCGTTTGGGCTTGAATTATATTTGCCTTCGGATTTATATGATCCGTTCATCCTATTTTGACTCCTCAAAATTCAAGTCTATCCTAAATTGAGGTAAATTGTATGGCTTTCCAAATACCGTTTCGATTCCTAACATCACTGAAGAGACATTAATTGTCGAAATCCGGATATGGTGTACAAAAACCTTTGCACCTTTATTGGTGGTATACCATCTTTTCCGCAAGTTTATTGTTTTCTGTTTAGTATTAAATTTAAAATTCCATTTATTACATCGGTGATCCGTTTATTTGGCAATCGCCAATGGCAGTCAGCAGGGTTTAAGAACATTTGTTGTTCGACCTGTTAGTCAAATGCGTTTTGTTAAAATATACATTTTCACGTTTTTGGTCTTTTGGAAAATGTTGTTTGTGCTGTATTTATATCCCTCTTACAAGAAATTTGTTTTGCATGCACACGTATAAAATTTGTGGTTTTTATCCAACGCAATCATAGGTTTGAACGTTGTTTTCAATTTAGACTTGTTTATATTTTTTCGTTTGGGCTTGTATTATATTTGCCTTCGGGTTTATATGATCCGTTCATTCTATTTTGACTCCTCAAAATTCAAGAGTCTATCCTAAATTGAGGAAAATTGTATGGCTTTCTAACAAAAAATTGGTTTTGCATGCACACGTATAAAAATTGCGGTTTTTATCCAACGCAATCATAGGTTTGAACGTTGTTTTCAATTTAGACTTGTTTATATTTTTTCGTTTGGGCTTGAATTATATTTGCCTTCGGATTTATATGATCCGTTCATCCTATTTTGACTCCTTAAAATTCAAGTCTATCCTAAATTGAGGTAAATTGTATGGCTTTCCAAATACAGTTTCGATTCCTAACATCACTGAAGAGACATTAATTGTCGAAATCCGGATATGGTGTACAAAAACCTTTGCATCTTTATTGGTGGTATACCATCTTTTCCGCAAGTTTATTGTTTTCTGTTTAGTATTAAATTTAAAATTCCATTTATTACATCGGTGATCCGTTTATTTGGCAATCGCCAATGGCAGTCAGCAGGGTTTAAGAACATTTGTTGTTCGACCTGTTAGTCAAATGCGTTTTGTTAAAATATACTTTTTCACGTTTTTGGTCTTTTGGAAAATGTTGTTTGTGCTGTATTTATATCCCTCTTACAAGAAATTTGTTTTGCATGCACACGTATAAAATTTGTGGTTTTTATCCAACGCAATCATAGGTTTGAACGTTGTTTTCAATTTAGACTTGTTTATATTTTTTCGTTTGGGCTTGAAGTATATTTGCCTTCGGGTTTATATGATCCGTTCATCCTATTTTGACTCCTCAAAATGCAAGAATCTATCCTAAATTGAGGTAAATTGTATTGCTTTCCAAATACCGTTTCGATTCCTAACATCACTGAGGAGACATTAATTGTCGAAATCCGCATATTTGTTTTGCATGCAACATGTATAAAAATTGCGGTTTTTATCCAACGCAATCATAGGTTTGAACGTTGTTTTCAATTTAGACTTGTTTATATTTTTTCGTTTGGGCTTGAATTATATTTGCCTTCGGATTTATATGATCCGTTCATCCTATTTTGACTCCTCAAAATTCAAGTCTATCCTAAATTGAGGTAAATTGTATGGCTTTCCAAATACCGTTTCGATTCCTAACATCACTGAAGAGACATTAATTGTCGAAATCCGGATATGGTGTACAAAAACCTTTGCACCTTTATTGGTGGTATACCATCTTTTCCGCAAGTTTATTGTTTTCTGTTTAGTATTAAATTTAAAATTCCATTTATTACATCGGTGATCCGTTTATTTGGCAATCGCCAATGGCAGTCAGCAGGGTTTAAGAACATTTGTTGTTCGACCTGTTAGTCAAATGCGTTTTGTTAAAATATACTTTTTCACGTTTTTGGTCTTTTGGAAAATGTTGTTTGTGCTGTATTTATACCCCTCTTACAAGAAATTTGTTTTGCATGCACACGTATAAAATTTGTGGTTTTTATCCAACGCAATCATAGGTTTGAACGTTGTTTTCAATTTAGACTTGTTTATATTTTTTCGGTTGGGCTTGTATTATATTTGCCTGCGGGTTTATATGATCCGTTCATCCTATTTTGACTCCTCAAAATTCAAGAGTCTATCCTAAATTGAGGTAAATCGTATGGCTTTCTAACAAGAAATTGGTTTTGCATGCACACGTATAAAAATTGCGGTTTTTATCCAACGCAATCATAGGTTTGAACGTTGTTTTCAATTTAGACTTGTTTATATTTTTTCGTTTGAGCTTGAAGTATATTTGCCTTCGGGTTTATATGATCCGTTCATCCTATTTTGACTCCTCAAAATGCAAGAATCTATCCTAAATTGAGGTAAATTGTATTGCTTTCCAAATACCGTTTCGATTCCTAACATCACTGAGGAGACATTAATTGTCGAAATCCGCATATTTGTTTTGCATGCAACATGTATAAAAATTGCGGTTTTTATCCAACGCAATCATAGGTTTGAACGTTTTTTTTTCAATTTAGACTTGTTTATAATTTTTCGTTTGGGCTTGAATTATATTTGCCTGCGGGTTTATATGATCCGTTCATCCTATTTTGACTCCTCAAAATTCAAGAGTCTATCCTAAATTGAGGTAAATTGTATGGCTTTCTAACAAGAAATTGGTTTTGCATGCACACGTATAAAAATTGCGGTTTGTATCCAACGCAATCATAGGTTTGAACGTAGTTTTCAATTTAGACTTGTTTATATTTTTTCGTTTGGGCTTGAAGTATATTTGCCTTCGGTTTTATATGATCCGTTCATCCTATTTTGACTCCTCAAAATGCAAGAATCTATCCTAAATTGAGGTAAATTGTATTGCTTTCCAAATACCGTTTCGATTCCTAACATCACTGAGGAGACATTAATTGTCGAAATCCGCATATTTGTTTTGCATGCAACATGTATAAAAATTTAACGTTATATTGATTCCCAAGTCTACAAGTTTGGTAGAAATCCAGGATAGTTTAAGAAAGTTATTAAAATTTTAAAAACTTTAACCACAGAGTGAATGTAATGTTTCCCGGCAGAAAAACTAAGTCCATTTACAAGTAAAATACTGAAAAACAGGAATTTTATTTTTACAAAATTTACTTCTGGATACTATCTTATGATCATAAACAAGCTTCTGTCCAAGTTTGGTAGAAATCCAGGATAGTTTAAAAGAAAGTTATTAAAATTTCAAAAACTTTAACCACAGAGTGAATATTTGTGGACGCCGCCGACGACGACGCCGACGCCGACGGAATGTAGGATCGCTATGTCTCGCTTTTTCGACTAAAGTCGAAGGCTCGACAAAAACGAGAAACGAGAAACGTTTATGAACCACATCAACAAACGACAACTACTGAACATCAGATTCCATTTAGTTCTCAACGATGTTAAGATTTTAAAGCCTAGAAATAGTGGAGAAGGATCTGCTAATTCTGCTTACCCTTTAAAATCAAAGAGGTAGTGCCAATATTCCCCGAACTTATTTCAAAATAGGGCCGCGTTTCAAAAGGTATGTCAATCTTTAATCAATGTAATAGTTTCACAACTCCATGTGGGCACTTTGAGAATCTTACAATATTATGGCCAAGTTCTAAATGCCTGAAGATAGCCTTAAACCGCAAGTTTGGCAGAATTTGGCAAATTTTGAGTATTTATCCAAAAATATATACGAAAGGTATCCATAACCTAAATCAAAATTATGTTGGAATTACAGTTATGAATTGCATATTTCATGCTATTTCCTAGAATTAATCAGGAAACAGAATATATACATAAGTTTCAAGTTAAATGATAAGATAATATTTTCAATAAATTTGAAAATCAACACCAATCAACAGTTCACAACTTTTCCTCATAAAAAATATCTCAGTTCAATAAACCTATCTTAAGTGTCATTTATTTAAGTCATAATCACAAACTTCCAATAAAAATTAAAATAACCCTGTGCTATGTAATCATTGAAACAGTTTTTTTTTCATTCAAAGTTCCAATTCTAGATTTTGTTATACAGAGTCTTTCACGACGTTGACCAGTTCTGTTTGTAGAGCCATCCTTTCCTGTTGTTTCCTCTCTACATCTTCGGTCGATTTGGTTATAAGCTGGGTAATATCTGATGTTAAAAATCGAACTGAAATTAAAAAAAAAAGAATCAAATGGTATGACCATGCACATTAAAGTCACCTGCTTTTATACGGCTGTTATGAAATTTCCCAATAAATTTATGTTCAAAGCTTACATTGTCACCTAACATACAGTATGTACATTCAAACATGGAAGATAGTTAACATTTTCTCGTACATGTAAGACTGGTAGTGTAATAGGCAAGAGGTATGTACAATATAGTGATGAATTAACTAATTAACTAGCTATTTTTTTTCAAAGTATGATTTCAATCAATTTTCTCAATGAAATTTGATACAACTATTAAAGCAGAGAATAAGATATTTAGCCAGCCTGCATGCATGAATATATTATGCCAAAAGCAAATTAATCAGAAGAACTTGATAGAAGGCATCCTAAAACCACCTGTTGTATGATTTGATTGATAGTTGTTGTTGAACAGTGATACACCCATTTGAAGATTTGATAATGGCACTTAATTTTGAATGCTTATTTATAGGTTTTGTATATACATTCTTCTGAAACTAGAAAAGGGCTTCATAATAAACTGTATGAAACTGCTACAATTTCTTTAGTTGCTTCATATGTTAAATAAAATATTTACAAATTGTAGAACTTTTAGATATCTTTAACTAGCGAAAAAAAACATCACCCGCATTCAAAATCCATTTTTGCAGCTGGATGCAATTTAAACTCCCATGTTTTACGGCACCATATAAAGTATCTTGGTGTTGGTTCAGGGAATGTATAGTTGTATGCAAGTTCTGTGAAGTACCATTCGTTTTCTTAATTGCCTTCCTGTCACCTGAAGACGTTCCCTAAATCCCATTATGACAGGAAGTCGTGTACAAGCAGTGGTGAAGTCCTAACCATAAATATTTGGCATCTGGGTCATAGAATTTTAACGCATCTGCAATAGATAATAATTAAAACACAAAGTTTATTTTAAGCATGATTAGGACACATTTGAAACAATTTTGTAAGCTTTTTTTAATTTATGAGACTACTGTTCAGACCATATAATGCAGGTTCATGTTTGACATGTTTTACTGATGCCTGGATAATACGGTATTGTATACATTCATTGATTGTTGTTTGCATAATACAGTGGCAAATATTTCATGCATTTTCAGGACGATATTTTAGAAACAAATGCAAAAAAATTGTGCAAAGTCTTCAGATAAATTGAATGCTAGTTAGTACCTTTTCATTCTTCTTTGACCACTTTTTTTATGATTCATCATCTGAATTAAGATTGATTGTTGTTCCTGGATGATCTGCTTCTAAAAATAGATGCATAGTTCACTGTGTGTTCTAGCTCACAAATCTGATTTTTATTGTTTGTCTTTTGTTTGCCCATAATTTACGATGAATAAGGAAGTACCCAACATTATTTCTTATTTGATAAATCCATTTATAAATGCAAAAATATGTTAATTTGTATTTGCATACATATATAACACTCATGTATGTTTGACGTCACATCTTAATATCTTTAACTTTGCAAAGTTTGTCTGTATTAATGTTTGTATTTAATCTATACACACTTTTGTAGACTTGGGACCATTTAAGCTTTACATATTAAATGAATACCTTGTTCAAGACTGTTTCTTGCCCACTACGTGTCTTTTGGTTGTTTTTGTAGGTGGGTTACTGTCTGATTGAAGTATACCATCCTATATTCATTTAAAAATAATTTTAGTCCTGTTTAAGGGTTGTTTAAGAGAGAAAATGGTTGAGGATTCATATTTTTTTGTTATTAAAGGGGAGGTTATTTATTCAACGTCTCGATTAAAAATGCACAGCTTAAAAGTAAATAGTGAGTTACCTGTACTCGGAGGTTTCTCTTGGTGTCATAGATGTGCCTGAAGTGTTTGACTCTGGTGTCAAAAATGTGCCTGAAATGCTTCCTTAGTGCTTGACGTGTATGACTGGTGTCAAAGATGTGCCTGAAGTTTTAGATTGTTGTGTCCGTGGTGTACCTGAAATAATTAGTTCTGCTGTCCACGATGGGACTGTAGAAATTGACACTGGTATCAAAGATGTGCCTGAAGTGCTGGAGGATAGACATTTTGGTAGTGGCTTTGAAAATTGACTACTAGTGTCTTATTGTTCCTTCCATTTGCCATGTTTATCCTGCTGAATGATCTTGTTTAACAAGGTTGTGTCTATTGAGAAAAAAAAACTTGTATACATAGCAAAGGTTGTAAGTGTTTAAATAAAATGTAAGATCACCCTTTTTAAAGTTTATTGTAGCACTTTTATGACCTAGCATATAAAAATATTAACGAAAGTTTATACTGCAAGTTGAAGAACTAATATTTCATTTGACTGCAATAGTAGGTGAACATATAAATAATATATATAAAAAAAAAACCAACAACAAATGATATTAGAATTTCTTTGGATGCAGTGGTTTTGTTTTATATTTGTGATTATGATATGCATATTATACTGTGTAGCAAATTATTTTAATTTTTTGGCGTTGTCAATTATATATCTTCATAAATGCTTAAAAACCTTTGGCATGGATCTTTTTGGCTATTTCATTGTCTGCAAAGACAGTGATTGTTTCTATATATATAAATATATATATATATATCTTTATTTCTCAACAAACCAAATTACAATTGGTATAGAGATACACAACAATAAATGTTACATAATGTATATTATATGGAAGCAAAGACGGTGATTGTTTCTCCATCAACAATTAATTCAACTTCTTCTTTTCCTTCTCAAAAAATAAAGAATCTTGTACTGTAAATTTATTTCTCTTTAATTTGAGCTATGAAAAAGCACCCTAATTAATTAATCAATTAATATTAATTGACTTGTACTGATGCTCAATGTCGTCAATAATGCGGAAGGAGATACCGGGAGTATTTTTAGCGTATTATGAGTAGAGAAAAGATGCAGAACTATTTGCTTTTACACCTTATCCCTATTTGTCCGCTATAACTAGACATCACAGACGTTCCCGTAAAAAGTGTGACGTCACTAGATAAAACTTCTGTCGCCAAATAGGAAAATTGTTTTGGAACGACGTAACTACTTCGAGTATTGCACACAAATAACTATAAGAGATCTATCACAGCTTATTAAAAAATCAGGTATCACAGGCACACCGACGAAGGAAAATCAAGTTCTAGCATACATAATTTGCTATTAATAATCCATGCTTGCTTAACTCTTTAAATTATTGATCGCTTCAAATTCATTTGATTTGGAGTCAAAATTTTAAATCATTGCATTTCTTTTCGGTCCTATGTTTAACATAACGGTTTTCAATATTTAAATTAGATAAGGTAATACCCATTGAATTCCTTTCTGCACGGACGATCTCGGCGGTCAGTATATAAAGAAAGTTTAATGCGCTTGACTAATGGCAATGCAACGTTCGTTACAAGATAGTTACGACACAGAAGTTAGTTTTGGTACACTATTTCCCACCCATCAACCCCAAATAACCTTTTATATATTAACTTCTCAGTTCGTATCGACTTGTTACGGTGAATTTTGATGCATTTATGTATGTCTGATTGTAGATATGTTAAATATGTTATATTAAATGCGATCATGTAGCGAACGCACAACCCTATATACTGTGTTTGGTTTTTTCTTCGATATTTAGTTAAGAAAAATTTTATTTTCGGTGGAGTGAAACGATTGAGAAAAATAACTATATTTGTTTAAAACTTTCAAATTGAAAATAACTTTTAACAATATTTTAATCAGAGTCGAAATAAAACTTTTAATTTATGTTAGAAATATTAAACTTGTAAGCTTTTTTTGCAAATGTCTATTGTCTGCCACTAACATCAGAAGAACTAATAAAAAAAGTATATCAGTAAAGAGAAGTAATAGTTAAAGCGACATTGTGTTAATGTTAAACTTTTAAGAGATGCTACCCAAGGGGATACACAATGAGGATACCCACTGACGTCATCATTAAGTATTTATGAGACTAATCAATTAATTTCTTGGAGGATAACCTCATCATAAAGTGTTTTATTGATTACGGCTTATCAATTGGCGTTATTGATTAATGATGTACAGATGTTTATCATATTATTTTTTTTGTATGGGTTAAAGGTGTAGGTGAACGAATATTAAAGGAAAGAAAAGATATGGGGTATCCAAAAAATTAGTGCATGCACAGCTAAAACACAAAAGGCAAAGGAACAGCGCTTTTATTTCTATTCTTCATCTCAAAGTTACAGTGAGGCCTTCAGCACGGATCAAAAACTCTCCCCTCATTGCAAGTTTCAGACGGCGCCTTGCACCGGTTTGAGCGAAAATCTTTGCAAACTGACGACCACACCACAACTACATAGTGTATCATTATGCAAATGTGACCACGGAGTTATCTAGTGTGATTTATTGATCACCATTCCAGTGGAGGAGACAACTTCAAATTTTCGAGAACATTAAATTGAAATATGTTACCCCCTCTTTTTGTATGCAATAACGTTCAAGTCACTTTCACTGAAGTACCCAGATTACAAGATTAGGCAGTTCTGCTTGTAACAATTGTGTAGAGTTGCGAGCATCTAGGACCACCGCCCTAATCTTCCACAACGGAGTTGATCTTACGGTGTCGGTGACTGAAACGTCTCAGGGAAGCTCTGGTTGACCTCCATATGAGAAATATTCCCCCTTTTAATCTCATATAGTCGAGCATGCGCACGCCGTCGATCCCAGAGCCGATGCAAATAATTACCAAACATAACACTTATTATTTGATTATAACTCATATAATTAAGAAACATAATACTGTAAATTTTTCATGTCACATCTTATTATTGTAATGCGGCGTTCCATACATTTAAATCGCATACAATCTGGCGCGATTCACCTTAGGACTGACGAATCCCTATTACTACTAGGGCGTGTTTAACGACCTTGACTACATGTACCTTTAATTTTCGTCGCTTCTATATTTTCATAAAATATGGAAAATCCCTAATCAAATATCTGATTTTGGTAGTTTCGAATCCGGCAATTTTAACACTATCTTTTAATCACCCCCTGTTTTGGTGGGGTTCGTGTTGTTAAGTCTTTGGTTTTCTATGATGTGTTTTGTATACTGTTGTTTGTATTTTCGTCGTTTTTCGTTTTTCTGCCATGCCATTGTCACTTTGTTTTCGACTTATGAGTTTGAATATCCCTTTGGTATTTTTAGCCTCTCTTTTACGATGAGTTTATCCTCCAAAGCAATTAGTTGATTGATTAAAATTAAGATTAATTAGCCACATAATATCTAATGATGACGTCACATGGTTGACGCGACCTAACGCAAGAAAAATTATGGTCAGGAATTTTGACAGGTTTATTATCTCCCGTTATTTCCCCCTAGCAGTAGTTGGCGTCTCTAGATCATTGTGAGAATTTGCTTTACTATAAAAATAAGGAGATGTGGTATGATTGCCAATCAGACAACTATCCACCCAAGTTCAAATGAAGTGGATGTAAGCAAGGCAACTGTACGGCCTTCAACAATGAGCGGAAAAACCCATACCATGCGTATAGTCGGCTATAAAAGGCCCCGGCATGAAAAATATGAAACAATTCAATTGAGAAAACTAACGGCATAATTTATAACAAAACAATCTAAGAAAAACAAATATGACAGACATGAACAAACGACAACCTCTTAACTACAGGCTCCTGACTTTGCCAGTCACATCAAAAAATGTGAGCGCTCAACCCTCCCCTAACCTTGGACAGCGGTGTAACAGGACAGCATAAGACCAAACTGTAAAAATCAGTTGAAAAAGGCTTAACTCATCAGATCGATACAAAGCAGAAAAACATCAAACAAAAACACAGACCGGACGTGGCAGGGTATTTATCCCTCCCTCATCCCTAACATAGTATGGCATGAGACATTTTACTTGTACGACCATTTAACACTTCTTAAAATCCAATCATTTACGATGTGGTATATCGTATTACATAAAGCATGAAATGTTATAGACTTCTACAATGAAATATATTTTGTCTGTGCACAATAACAGTTATATAAAATTGATCGAGTGGGGGCACGCACAGTGGCAAATTAGATGCATGATGCCTAAGAGATACCTTCTTCTCTACTACACGGTACATTGAGTCGGCTTTTTATCGAGGCTAGTACGCTACCAAGCTTCATATACAATATGCATGCGTCCTATTTATATATGCATGCGTCTTATTTATATATGCATGCATTCCTAGGCATTTGTCAGTAATCGCCAAGAAATTCTGTGGTTACCTGGTAAATCCAATATAGCTGGTTGCAATTGAATTGTCAAATATATTGAAATATCAACGTAGGTGACATTTATATTTTATGATTAGTAAATGTTTGTGTAAATTGAATTGTAATCAAGGTATTATGTTCGGAGCCATTAGTGCCACAGGCTATTTTGGACAAATTTTAGTGTCTGAAATTTAATGAGTAAGTAAAGTGTGTTAATTATTTAAAAATCATTATGTTGGACAAAATTCTACTAAAAATAATAATTTTACTATTTAAGTCTTGACATTAAGAAATATGTTTCCAAAAGGTGTACAGTGGTCACTGCCATTAAACTACTCATGCCTGTAATGTTCCATTAAATTGGCCCTATAAAAATGTAAAGGACTAGCACTCAGTATTATTAATATATATATACCATATCTACACCATAAGGTGTCATCTTGATTGATCTGGTATCAATCCAGCCTTTTTAAAACACAATTTTGTTTTATGTTTAAATGACATTTAAATTACTGAGTCCCCTTCCCGCATCGGCTGCATATTAATATATTTAAGACTTTTATGTAGTATAGTGACAGTGGTGTTCAGTTCGGAGTAAAATGTGAATGCCAGTGATATAGTACTTTTTTTGTAATCTAGACAAATCATTTTGGATCCGATTTGACCAATCCGACAGTCAACATGATCTTATAACAAAATGGCACATGTTTTTCCGACTGGAGCAATAAGAATGGAATTTGGATAAATGTTCCTCCGACAGTAACGTAACAATACAGTTTTTCACACGATAATGCATTTTCTAAGTTTTTATTCATTTTGTTACTTTTTCTCGCAAGAACCTATGGCAGTTATTTTCCTGATATACTTATGGAATTTCTTCTTT